TGTATTCACACTATCTATCAAACATCTCAACTTCACCAACTGGATAAGATCTCCAACTCAACGCTGACTAATTTCCCTTTTTATTTTCCATTAATTCCTTCTTCTCATTTTAATTAATTCATTTTTTTTCTTAGATTTTGTGTCATCTGGATTCCATCTCATCCTATTACAAAATTGGAAAAGATGGTTCCACTCATGTTTAATTTCATTTAATATGAAATAATTAACTATAATTCACATCTATCTCAACCACCACGCCCATGACTTTGGATTTTGTCCTCTTTTTTTTTTTTTGGCCAGCTGATTTTAGATATAGGCGTATCGCTGACCATCCAAAATTTGAGCATTAATATAATTAAAAAAGTGTTTGGGTAGAATCAAAACTATGGTTTTAAAATTACTTTTATGGTATATGAAGTAAATATGTGGAGGAATTTGTTTTAATTTGTGAAAAATTACGTTTAAAGAGCTTTTTTTTTTTTTCCTTATCTAAACGCCGCCTGAAGAGGGAGGACACACATATGTATATCCCAATATGGTTTTATTTATAAGATTTGGATATTTGATCTTATGAAGAGGAAAAGTCAAAGTATATATTTGGTCCTTTAACTTTGTATAAGGTTTTAATTTAATCCCTTAATTTTAAAAAGCATATATTTGGTCATTTAACCCTAAAATCATTACGCTTTAATGATATTTTTGGTAATAATCATGGATTTTTTGAAAATTAAACTTAATATATTAGTATTTGAGAATGTTTTATTATCAATATTTAAGATCTTAATGTCATCATTTTTTTAAAAGAAATTTAGAGTTAAAAGACTAAAAGTATACTTTTTAAAGTTAAAAGATCAAATTGAAACTTTATACAAAGTTAAAGGATCAAATGTATACTTTAATGAAAAGAAAATTAAGTCTTTTTTCTGCGCAATATAATCATTGTTATTCCACTATCATTGTTTATCAATTAGAATCATATTTACGCATTTTAATTAGTGGCTTAAGCCTCATAATCCAAATGACATCAAGCATCATTTTAAAGATTTTCTTAAACCCGGAGTGATGAGATTGAATCATCTATTGAAAGTATGATAAGTATTTGAATTATAAATATTTACACATTTTAATACTACTTTTGATCTTAATTATAAGATCTCATTTATAATTTATAAACAAAATCTTATAATTAAGACTGGAGGTAGTAATTTTGTTATCTAGATAAGATGCAATGAGGATAGCACCCAAAATTTAGCTTAAGTTTTTTTTTTTTTACTTATTATGAGATTTTACATTTATAACAGTATTATATGTTTTTTTAATCAAGAAAATCTTTACATTCATGTAGTGATCCTTTAATTCTTTTTTTTGATATAAACCATCCGGTATCCAACCGCGCTTTTTCTGGGCCCCAGTCTCTTTGGGCCAGTTGTACCCGAGCGATCGACTAGTCCGGATTCGGGCCGGGCGACAAGTAAAGCCCTCCCCGGTACCCTTTTTAACAAGTGAGGATTCGAACCCCCGCCCTCAAAGAGCAGAGACTCGCCTCACTTGTGGCCTAGCCAGTCACCACTAGGCCAGGAGTATTCGGGTAGTGATCCTTTAATTCTAAATACAAGATCCATTTAAAAGTTTTAGTTTTTTTTTAAATATAAGGTCTTGTTTTTCTTTTGTGTCCCTTGTTAAATTTTTCTTTGCTATAGTACTCTTATTTATCATAGACAGGGTTTTTTTTTTTAAAAAAAAAAAAGTGTCACAAATTCTCTACATATTAATTTTAAACAACCAATCTACCTTTTTTTTTTATATATATTTTATGAATTGATTAAAAAGGTATTAGAGGATTTATTTATTTTCTTGGGAGTTAGATGATCATCATTTGTATCTATTGGACCCATCCTTTCGACTCTAACATCAGGAGGTGTTTGGGAATTATTAGAAAAGTATTTTTTTACAAATCAAAATAAACTTCTTTATATATTTATTTTGTATACCGTAAAATTCACTTTTAAAATTATAATTTGGTTTCCATCCAAACATTCCTAAATCTATGATTGTCATCTTTTAAGCACTTTGAACGAATTGTTTTTTTAAATTCTTTTCGAAAGCTTTAGTGTTACTCACCGACATGATAATTTGCATAAAAAATTATATCTTTTAGCTGTCAAAATTGATTGATAGAACTTTATATTTGAATATAGTTTCCTTTTCATTTGATGACGGTCTGCTTTTCTTTTTCTTTTTCACAGCATTAATTTGAAAATGAAGGTTTATAACTTTCAAAATAACGAAGAATAATTATGTGCAGTTACCTTTTCCTCTCAGAATATTTTTCTTTTTATATAGATAGTATAATATAATATTAACTCTTGATATAAAAACTAGTTAAAAAATTATATTTGATCATAAATATAAAACTTCAATCTATATTGTCTTTTAAATTTATAATTCATTCTCTACGGTATCCCCATTGATTGCACATATTAAGGATGTTTCCATCCAAAGGTGATTATGATTAAAATGACACTTTAGAGAATTGAACCCATATTTGTGATAACTAACTAATTTAACAAACTTTCTTAATTTACTCCAATTAATCAATTAGCTCTTATATTAAGGATGACTGGTAGTATAATATAATAGAACATAACATGATATTATCTCTGGTCCTAAATATAAGAGGTAGTTGACGATCTTAAAGTGAATACACATTTATTACAAATAACTAACTTAATTATTTTCTTTAATACCTCTAAATTAATTATCAAGTTTTTATATTAACAATCAGAAGCAGTACAGTATAATTGGTTTGAAGTTGATATTCGTAATCAAACAGTGCTATGTGAAATTTTATGGGAACTATTGCCTCCGATCCCTTTATATAAAAGCAAATTGATTAATTTGATTGTTAGAATCAACTATGACGTTCCATGACTACCCCTACTGTCAACATTTCTTAATTGGCTTAGTGAGATACATACATACATATATATATTTATATCTATATATATGTAACGAAATTTAAGGGAACAAAATTGTTTGGTAGACGTCTTAGTTAATGAAGGATTATCCTCCTCCATTTTAGATAATTGACCATCTCATCCGTACACAATGCTTCTATAAAATATATATATATGGGATTGAATTCCTTCTCAGGTTAATTACTAGCTCTAGTCCTTAATATAATAGCTAGTTAACTAATTTAAATAGATTGAGAAAGTTTGTTAAATTAGTTATTTATAATAGAATAGGTGTTGTCTTTCCTAAAATATCATCATTTGTATTAGTTAGAATTATCATTTGATGAAATATTTAATACAAACAACTACTACAAGGACTACTTTGGATAAAATGGATAAATATAACAAACAATGTGAATTATAATCTTATATTTAAAACTAAATTAGAAGTCAGACTAACTCTTGTCCAAATTAAAAGTTAAACTAACTTTTATATTAAGAACAAAATGTAGTGTTTATCTTTTTGGGCTTTGGCCTTGTTTTCCATAACAACATATAAATCCAAGGGACTATTAATTTTTTCTATTTAAAGCAACATTGTTTCAGTCTTAATAAGGAGAAAGAAATATAAAATTCGTCTAACATCCTTAATCAGAATGAGTAGGGAATTGATTTATTGATTCATTAATCGAATTGGATGTGAATTGAGTTTCAGTATTATGAATTTATTTATTGATTTTATTTTGAAAAAGAGTTAATATAATTTTTGATCTTTTAAATTTGTCTCATTTTGACTTTGGTTTATTAAATTTCAAATTATAAGTTTTGGTCTCTCAAATTTCTTTTCATTTAAAATGATCCTTATAATTCAATAAAAATTTGGGTCATTTTACTTTTGAGAAATCAAAACTTATGGTTTAAAATTCAATAGACCAAAACCAAAATGAAAGCAAAGTTAAATAACTAATAATTATATTAATTAATCCCTTTTAAAAAAGATAATTCGTTTTGGTGAGAATCCGTATCTTTTTATGCTGGGGTGAATGGCAATTGTGTAATTGTCTTAGAGATTTCTTTTTGGGGTGCCGGCACTAGAATATTTCTTGCAGATTCCTCCCTCCTGCGGTCTTGGATGTGGGGTAAGGAAATGCAGTTATATTATTAATGATATTAATTTTTTGACCGGTCAGATGTCACTGTTATTTACCATCTTTATTAGGCGAAATAAAAAAAAAAAAATTGGCATTAAAAAATTATTGCGAATTTGAACGGATTATTCCAACTTGGCATGTGGGAGTGTATTTTTTCCAACAGCACTTGATGATATTGTAGAACAACCCCTTGGCCGGAAAAAAAAAAGTAACACTATCCCAATATTTGTGTTGATATATCTTTTCAGTTTGAGATTAAATTCTTTTTCTAATTTCTCCTTATAATTGCTTGTATAAAAGAATATATCCAATGCAAAATATTGTACAAAAATACAAAAGTTCAAAAACTTCAAAATAACAATCTCATATAAAAGCCAGTGGAAATGCAGTGTGGTTCAAAATCTAATTAATTTGAAAAATAGAAAATGTTACTTAATTTATGCAATGTGATTTGATTTTAAGAGAAAGAGCCAGTAAATGATAAATTTTAAAATAAATCAATCAATCAATTCACATAATTCTCAATTTTGTTGGTATAATAATCACTCAACTTTCAATTAATTGCCAAAAAAATCCAACCAATTTCCAAATTCCTATAATTAGGGGCCACTACGGACAAAACATACCGTGACTGTGAATTCCCAAATCACGTTACGGATACGCCGATACGGAGGCGGAAGGAAAAGAACTGATGAAGGGAGGGAAACTTAGCTGTCAGAACCGTGTGGTTTCACCCATTGCGACCCTACCGGTCATTTTCTCTTCCTTTAACCGGCAATTTCCGGTAATCTTTCTTACATTAGGCCAAACGTCTTCTCTCTCTACTCTCACACACTTCTTCCCTTGCCTATCTCTCATTCGTCTCTCATTATAAATATCTGCTTTGGAAGTCATGCCTCTTTTTTCGATCCTTTTCCCATATTTCCCTATCTTCTCGACTAGCCTTTCCCGGCGAAATCGCCGGCCAACAACCGTAGCTTCCGCTGCCGGATAGTCTCTCCCGCCGCCATTCCTGTCCCTCGAGGTTCGTTCCACCACCAACTCTGCAGTGCATTTTTCCCTCATGGCTTGTGTCTAATGCTTTAGATCTGTCCTTATGTTGGTTATTGATGACTTGGAGTCATTTCTATGATATAAATTGCTAACTGGACCCGTTGGTGCTAGTTTTTTGTGCTCTTTTGTCTGACTGGTGTGATAATGGCGGTTTTTTACTGTGTCTAATGGATCTTGATGTGTTTTTCTTGCATCAGCATCTCTGTAAGTGAATTTCTCCGTCTTCCGATAGTGTTGTCTGCCTCGGTAGTTTGAGCTGTACAGTTCTTTTCAACTCTTGATCTTTTTGAAAGACGTAGGAACTTTCTAATTTGGCATTAGGCTTTTTCTTATTCCCAAATAAGGTGTTCTCCTAATTTGTCATTTGTTGTTTCATTTCTTTCTTAAATATATCATATATGATGAAACAGATCACAGTTATAGTAAATGGTATGTCTAGAATCTGAATGTATTGTTTTTGGTCGTAATGTAGCTAGATTGTATCAAAAACTTACCCTGCATTAAATATTTCCGTCTTTTCACTTGGTTTACCTTTACGTAAAGCCTGATATGTAAAGGCTATTATATGTAGAATAGTTGTGATCAATTGGCGCATTTTACGGGTGAGTATGCTCTGCATTTCTGATGCCGTCATTTGCTTCATACCTTATAGGTTTGAACTTTGTTATTTTATCTCATTTTTATGTTTGATTTTTCAGCATTTTATATTTTGGCTGTAGATCTATATTTCTGATAAAATCATTTGGCTATTGGAGGAGCGTAGAAAATGGACGGGGCTGTGGGACTTAGAAATGTTGGCTCACACTGCTCTATCTCTGAGATGGATGATTATGACCTCTCTCGTCTCCTTGACAAGCCAAGGCTGAACATAGAGAGACAGAGATCATTTGATGAAAGGTCACTTAGTGAACTGTCAATTGGTCTCACGAGAGGCTGCTTTGATGACACATACTCACCTGGAGGAAGATCTGGGTTAGACACTCCTGTTTCCTCAATGCGGACCTCATTTGAGCCTCATCCTATGGTTGCTGATGCTTGGGAAGCCTTGCGAAAATCTCTAGTGTCTTTCAGAGGCCAACCAGTTGGAACAATTGCTGCAATTGATCATCAATCAGAGGAAGTTCTAAACTACGATCAGGTAAATTTCTCCAGTTATACTGAAATGCGTTTCCACTGCAGAGACAAATAATTTTTTTGCGGATGTTTAATTTGAAACAACAAAGTCATTTATTTTTTTATAAGTAATAAGTTGTCACGAAATCTGGAATATCATAATATGTAGGACTGGCTGCCAACCATACATGGCATATGATTAATAACAACTTAATTGAGATGTGATAACCGAAACTTCCTTTTAATAAAAGAAGTTTGGATGTGGTAGCACTAATGTCATTTTGATTGAAAAATTCTCTTGAATATCTGCTCTAAACCCATTAAATAGGAAAAATTAACGTAACTGAAGATTTTAATTTCTGAATTGCACAGTTCAGGTTATTGTTTTAACAATCTCCTACAAATTCTGAGTTATAATTTTAGCTAAGCAAAGATGAAACAGGTAGGCAGTTTAGATTCATTGAAAGACGGCATTCAGCTGCCTGCAATTTTCTGCATGTGTGATTCTTATAAGCCATCCTGAACTGGTGTTGTCTGTGATTTGTTTTACTCTTATCATATCTTTATAGTTAATTGTGAAATGCCGAACATATTAAATGTAAATGATGAATTGTATCTTTATAAAAATATACTTGATAAATTGTTGTTAACTGTCATAAGGTTTAGTTAAGAGAGTTTTGGCTTTTGAATTAATACTGGCTTTCGTGGTAGCACTTTGATGCAGGATAATTAGTAAAATTTAAAACAGGTATTCAATGAAATGTTCTATTAAACGCTTAATTTTTCCTTCCTAGGTTTTTGTTCGGGATTTTGTGCCCAGTGCTCTGGCCTTTTTGATGAATGGTGAACCTGATATAGTTAAGAACTTCTTACTGAAGACGCTTCATCTTCAAGGCTGGGAAAAAAGAGTAGACCGGTTTAAGCTTGGTGAAGGTGTAATGCCTGCTAGTTTTAAAGTCCTTCATGATCCTGATAGGAAAACAGACACTCTGATTGCAGATTTTGGTGAAAGTGCAATTGGACGAGTTGCTCCAGTTGACTCTGGATTCTGGTGGATCATCTTGCTTCGTGCGTACACAAAGTCTACAGGGGATATAACTTTGGCTGAAACACCAGATTGTCAAAAGGGAATGAGACTTATATTGACTCTGTGTTTGTCAGAGGGCTTTGATACATTCCCTACTCTGCTTTGTGCTGATGGATGCTGCATGATTGATCGGAGAATGGTAAGCTATATTCCAATCAGTTTTTTCTCAGTGTATTAATGCAATTAAGTAAGCTTTTATTCCTCTAGCTGCTGAAATCCCAATTCCATAATAGATTAGAAGTTACCCCCCCTTTTAGTGTCATCAAATTAATCTGACTTTACTGATGATGTCTATTGTTGTGGTCCGAAATTGCATACAAGATCAACTGTAGAATTCTTGTTTTTGTCACCACAATGTGATGATTTACCGTAATTACAAATTAAGGAGATTTTTTTAAGTAATTATCTGTTCTAGCTAATGTTTATTTGAAGTTGGTTTTGGTATCATCTTTATTGTGGTAACAAATAAATATTTAAGGTGGAGATGTAATGAAGTGGAAGCTGTTGTCCTGAGTGACAAACGATTTACTGTTTTTAAGCTGAGAATGAATAGCTTACCGTTGGAACCTTTTAGTAGATTTATACCTGGGCCATTTCCTTTTCTTTGCTCTTTTTGTTTCTCATACATTCTTTTTGGTTAAAAAGTGTTTCACTTTCATTTTCTGACAGTTTCTATTTCTTTTTCATATTGATGAGTTCACCCTGCTGCCCTCTTTGTAGAATGTAAAAACATATATGCTCTTGCTTTTTCAGTTTGGCGTGAAGGTTGTGATATGTGTCTAGGGTTGGTTCAAATGTTCTGACTAGCTGTTTATTGATGTTAAGTATTGTTAACTATGTGTATTATTTAGTAAAAGAATAGAAATATGGCCAGTGGGAAGGCATGCAAACATGTCCTTGAATGGTGGCAGCCTTTCTCCCTATTTATAATACTATGAATATCATTATGGAGATTATCTACCAGATTAAATCCTTCAGATCTTTAATTCTTGGTTTCTATTATTACTCATGTACGATATCTAATGATTCCATCATTAGATATCATATATGGTTTATAAGTGCCTCAAGTTAAGCTTTCATTTATAAACTAAATTGTGGGCCCGTTGCTTATAGGTGATCCACACTATTTGGGCTTATGTATAGCATAGTTTCTTTTAGATTTTAGATTTTATATTAACTGAGGAGATTTAATTGACTTGCAAGTTTTTATTAGTAAACCCCCATGAGCACTTAAAAAAGTTCTTTTACACAAATCCAACTACTTACCTTGTATTGCACAAAATCACTTAAAATAATCTAATCCTTCTCTTTTTGTGCAGGGTGTTTATGGCTATCCTATAGAGATTCAAGCACTTTTCTTTATGGCACTGAGGTGCGCTTTGGTGATGCTCAAACATGACGCAGAAGGGAAAGAATGCATTGAGCTTATTGTGAAGCGTTTGCATGCTCTAAGTTATCACATGAGGAATTACTTTTGGCTTGACTTCCAACAACTAAATGACATCTACCGGTACAAGACTGAGGAATACTCACATACTGCAGTAAATAAGTTTAACGTTATTCCTGATTCAATCCCAGAATGGGTATTTGATTTTATGCCAACACGAGGTGGCTACTTTATTGGAAATGTTAGTCCTGCTAGGATGGATTTCCGGTGGTTTGCTTTGGGCAATTGTGTGGCAATACTTTCATCTCTTGCTACTCCCGAGCAATCAATGGCTATAATGGATCTTATTGAAGCCCGCTGGGATGAGCTGGTGGGAGAAATGCCCTTAAAAATATGTTATCCTGCAATAGAGAGTCATGAGTGGCAAATTGTTACTGGTTGTGATCCTAAAAATACCAGATGGAGTTATCATAATGGAGGATCTTGGCCAGGTTCTTCCTTTTCTCTTCGTTTGCTTAACTTTACAAAACAATTTAGCGTGGGGTGCAGTCAGGTTAACTTGACGATTTTGAATTTATCGAATCTTCCCTAACGAATATTGGTCTGGTTTATTTTAGATGTTATTGAAATTAAAGTGCTTTGTAATGATAATTGACAAAAATTCCTGTTATGCCTTGCATGTTGACCTGGTTGCGGTCCTTGCTTCTTTATTGGCTTTCTATGGATGCCCTAGATTACATCGTAGGTTAATGGTGTTTAGATCTGATTCAATAAAAATTCCTTACATATACAAACCCTCTTAACTTTTAAATACTATGTTTTTGTTGAATGTTTAACCCATCACTGCCTTGACCGTGTATACACTATTTCCCTTGCCCTGTAATAATTAATAAGACTTAATCCATTCTCAAGTTCAGCTGATGCCTCCTCAAGAAGAGCTTCGTGCTATAACCTGTAATTTTTGTTTTGACTTTGTCCATTCATATGTCTATATATTTCCGCTTATCATTGGAATAGAGGTGTCTGCTTGAACCATTTTTATCTGATTTTGTAACTAAGCTTTTAATGTTTAATCGTCCATGCATTCTATTTGTTTCCTTGATCTTGAGAGCATTATGTGGCTACGATGATTCTTGATCGTTGTTTGAAGCATCATTATTAGATTTCGGAATCAATTTTCTATTGCACGTGAAATACCAATTTATAGCATTCACCAATATGTCGCACAAGATTCCTATCCCCCCCCCCCCATATATAAGCATAGCTTGTCTACATTTTATCATTTGTTTTGGCGATGAAAGTGCGTGGCATTGATGGTTTTTCTCTGGGTCTTCTGTTTTCTTTTGGCTTCATGCTATTGGTTGCAGTACTCCTGTGGCTATTAACGGCCGCTTGCATCAAAACGGGGAGACCGCAAATAGCAAGACGAGCGATCGAGCTTGCGGAGAGCCGATTACTGAAGGATGGGTGGCCCGAGTATTATGATGGAAAACTTGGCAGATATGTTGGCAAGCAGGCAAGAAAATACCAAACCTGGTCTATTGCAGGTTATCTGGTGGCAAAGATGATGCTGGAGGACCCCTCTCACCTAGGTATGATCTCCCTAGAAGAAGACAAGCAGATGAAGCCATTGATTAAAAGATCATCTTCTTGGACTTGCTAAAAGAATTTCAAGCGATATTCAAATATAGCGGAAACAAAGGTGAGAGACTGTTATTTCAATACGGCACTATTCTTGGTAATTTCCTTCCTCCTCTTAGGCTTTGGTTGGATGTTTGGTTATTGTAAAATAGCGGCTGCTGAGACTAGCATCCTGCTTTTCCCAAATAAGGAAAAAAACATTTCGGCCCTTTTATTTTGTTTTATTTATTTTTTGCTTTATTAATTTTTTTTTTTGTGAAAAAAATTTCTATGCCATCATTCCATTTCATGATGGGATTATTCTGATTTGTCCACCAGGTGATGGAGCTGTTGGTTAAGTAAAATATCAGTATATTTTAGACATAGTAGAACTGCCTCATAAAATCATGCGACTCTATCTGCTGTGAAGTACAATGACAAGTTCGTCTACTGGAGTTTTTCTTTAATAAATAAATTCTTTTTTTGGGTGAACTAATAAGTAAATTCTTTAGCTATATTTAAAGGTGCTATCGATGCTGACATGTCTGATTTGATCGAATAGTCACTATTTTTTTTTTTAAATGAAAAGACAATTTGATCGACTAACCACTATTTAACAGGCGTGTATTCTTTCTTTCTTTTTTTTGTAAAAAAAAAAAATACAAGTTCATGGTTTCTATCTTTGGACGTTGTATTTGAATTCGAAATATCAGATAAAAAGTGAAGATGCATTCTTACTTGGGTATTAGAGTGGAAATAATATCTATCAAATCCTTGTCACGTTTGGAATGTATGAACTAGTTAATTAATTAGAGTAGATTAAATAAGTTTGTTAAGTTAATTATTTGTAATGAATAAGTGTGATCTTTTTTAGATTGCTTTTACTAATCATATATATTAGTTAAAATTACTATTTGATAGAACATTTATCTTATGCAACTATGACAATAATTGTCTTAGAAAAAGTGGATAAAAAATATAAATTGAGGTTTTATATTTAGAATTAAATTTAATGTCAAATTAAGAATTGGAAGTGGTACAATTTTCAAGTGATATAATCACAATTGATACTTTTTAATGACTATTATTTTTGTCAGTTTATTATCATTTTTTAGTGGAAATTATATATCTTTATTTTCATTATAAACAATCTTAGTCCCCTTCCGGAGAGACAATCTTTGAAGAGGAAAAAAAATCTGCACCTTGACCACGTGGTTGGGTTATCATGACCAATGAAGAAAAAATCGGACCAGACCGGCCGGTTCAACCAGAAAACCGGTGAACCGGTCTCCAGTCCGGTCTGGTTTGAAGAATGAACCGGTTTTGAATCAAATCGAAATGAACCGGAAAAAACCGGGAAAAACCGGTAAGAACTGGCAAAACCGGTGGGTTGGGTGGGTTACCGGTTCTCTTTTCCTCCCCTTCTTCTTTACTCTTACCGTCTCACCACCGGAGAAGACATGAACATGGTTGAGAGAAGTGGTAGAAGCAGAAAAAATCATGAAAAGAAAGATCTATTTGGAAGCCTCTTGTGTGCAGTCTCAACCCTATGCTCGTGGAAGAGTCGAAGGCAAGGAGGAGGATAAATACCAGAATAGAATAGATGCGCAGAACAAAAGAAAAGGTCACTGTTTATCTTCTCTATCTGAGAAAGAACGAAAGAGGAAGAGGGAGAAATGACTTTCAGGCTTTGAAGTTTTGAATAAGAAAGAGAAGAACACTCGGCTGTTCACAAGGAAAGAGGAAGAAAAAGTCAAAAAACTCACCTTGCGATGGACATTCACGTGAGAGAGAGAAAGAAGAGATGAACATGTAACCTATAAAATAATTAAAAAAAGGATTGTATTCGACCATGTGAGGAAATCAGGAAAAAACGGAGAAAAGAGAAAAAGAAAATAAAAAAAAGCATAAAAATTATACACATAAATATTTTATAATTAAATTATATTATTTTAATTATTACCGGTTTAACCCGGTCTAACCCCGATCTAACACATTAACCCTTAACCCACTATCTTAACCGGTTTAGTGTCCGGTCCGGTTTTTTGTTCCTTGATCATGACACGCATTGAGTTCTGAATTTGGATCTTGGTGTTGGGAGTGGACTCAACAATCGTAAGTGCACTCAGATTAGGCAACTGTGTCACGGTCGAGGGGCCCGAAATCACTTCAAGAATCTACATAAAAGACCATTTCCTTCTACCAAATAAAGCGGAAAGGATTCAATTTTTTCAGGGTTAAGGTGATTGAAGTTTTTTTAGGTGTATTTAGTACTTTAAAGTGTTGAGCGTGCTTAAAAAATTATTTCAAGATACCGGATATATTACAAAATATTTTAAAATGTTAGATATATAAAAAAAAATATTTTGAAGTACTGGATGTATCTTAACTCATTTTAATCTTGAGCATTTATGGCAATTTGTGTGGGGCGCGCACAGAGTCTGGCACTTCTTTTTTTTTTTGTTTTTGTTTTTGTTCTTTTCTTGGCATCGCCAAAATACAAAAAAGATAAAAATAATCATGCGAAAACAAAAACTGGCATTGATGTGCACTTATCTCCCCCCCCCCCCCAAAAAAAAAAAAGGGATCCACCATCAGATATTTGCCCAACAAATTCAGAGCAATGATCACACTTCCACCTTTCAAGTTTCAACTTTCCCCATGCAATCCAAAGTCCTAATCTTCAGAGAGTATTTCACCCCTTAAAGTAGCAAAAGAAGCCAAATAGCTCATCGTTTCACTTATCCACATTCAGGCACAACACACATAAAGATCTAATTTTTTATGTCTCCCTACTAAAATAGTTACTCCTTACCCTCCGTAATAGTAGTATAAGAATATAATACTCTTCTGATTGTTAATATAAAATCCATTTAACTAATTTGATTAGATTAAGAAAGTTAGGTAAATTAGTTAATTATAAGAAATGTGACACGTTTTTCTTAAAATACCATAATCATCTTTCTTAATGCCTCATCTTCCTCTTCTATTTGATTATGATTGATGGAGTATCTATAGGGATAATTTAGAGAAAATTGATAAATAGAGAAATGAGTCTTATATTTAGGACCAAAACCAACTCTGTAATTGGATCCTATATTAAGGACCGGAGAAGTAATTAGATTTGGTTCTAAATATCAAACACTTCTATTTCATATAGTTATTTTTTTTCAAATTAATTTAACCAACTAATTAACTGACACAATGTGTTATACTATAATGTTACAAGGGAGTATTTTACAAAGATCATATCACGTATGTTATAAATTATAATTAACTAATTTTATTTAATTAATTTTTGTATTAAAAATTGAAAGAAATATATTTTTTGGAATAAGATGTGTGAAGTATATCTAATCTTCAAGCGACTCTATTTTTTTTCCAAAAAAAACAAACATTGTAAGGATCTAATCTTACAACTGGAAAAAATCACTATTTTTTTTTTTTAATGTACAAACTAGATAATTAATTTGTAAATATTAATAAAATTAGTTATTCCGTTAGCTTTTCTAAAATAGCAATCTCATTAATTATATGCATTAAAACTATATATTGATGAAAACCTCTTCACATATGCCATCAATAGAAATACTCTGAGAAAAAATTATAAACTTAGAAAAAATGGATTGAGGTTTTATATTTATAATTAAAATAAATCCTTTTATTTAGCTCTTATATTAAGAACCGGTGATAATATAATTGAAAAAACTACTCTTAATCCGGTATACTCAAATACTATAACCTAATCTCACTGTATTATGAAATAACCTAAAAAGATATTTATAAAATGAGGTGCGTATGATAACTTTTTAATTTTTTTTTCATTCAAAGGATATTTTATAGACGTTTCATTTTAAAGAATCTGAACTTCTGGAACCCACTAATACATAAGTACTATAAACAAACAGAATAAAACTGTCACAAGTCATAAGCATGTTATAATAACAAACAGCATATACTTAAAAAAGGGACCTTAAAACAAATTGCAGGAAGTTAGGGAGCCTTTTAAAGAATGAATGTAAAATAATATGGTCGGAAAGTTAAGGGTCGCTGTTTGACCCTCCCCACCTCATTATGGTGTCACACACAATTTGCACAACTTGTCCCTTTTCCCCCCTAACCTCAATCTACAGAAAGCAAAACTTTTATTCCCAACTTTTTAAAATAAAATTTGAGGTATGTAAATATATTTTTTAAGAATATAATAATATAACATCAAATAATAAAAATTGGTTCACATGTTATAATTTATTAAAATTTTTTATCAGTGAATAAGGTTCTAAAGATCATGTTGTTATTATCATTACAAACATCTCTAATGTGTGATTAAATTAATGTCTACATGTTGCATGTGAGTTCTCCACAAACTTCAAATCCAAAAGGGGATTTTTCGAATGTATTGTACAGAAAAGATTCAATATTACAGAAAAGATTGCGAATTTGAAATTTTCAAAGTTAGTTTTGATGAGGAATCAAATCATATGGCTTATATTCCAGTAGATTAGTGATTTTGGAAGACCTAACATTACTTAACTTAAACAAAACAATATTACTCGATCTAATTAACTAATTTAAATAGATTAATAATATTAACTAAGTTAGTTAATATGATATTTTTTTAAAAAAATCACTTTAAGTATTTTCCTTAAATTCCCTCCCTCCATCTCTTAATTTGAAAAAAAAAAAAGATAAATATATGAAATAAATCTTATATATAAAATTAATATTAACTTTTTAATTAGGTCTTACATTAAGGATTGAAGGAGTATTTAGTTTCTAAAAACTATTTTAATTCTAATGTCAATATTTTTTTTAATTATATCACAAATGTTTAAATTCTAGAACTCAACCCCACTCACTCTTCCCACTTAGGTTAACATTAATTACCTATTTATGGATGAGATGCGAAAGAGATCAAGTTTAAAATCCTCGTGATGTCTCCAAAAAAAAAAGAAGTAGAGTTCTTCCTCAAAGGTTTTAACTTTACACACGATGGGACCAAAAGTCACATTCAAAAACAAAAACCAGTTTTTTTTTTGTTAAAAAAATTTATATAAAAAATTGGGAAAAACTGAAAAGTAATATATAGTGTACATTCCAGCTGCAAGCACTGTCAATCACGGGTTTTCGCTGTATCTGAAAAAATCCACTGAGCATAGTCCACTTTTCAATGCATTATATATACACTACACTCCCTCGTACACATGCACAACAATCGTAGAAATGGGATTCAACCTTCTCAATTTCACTCTCATCTTTCTCTTCTTCTTCTTCCACATCACTTCAGCCGCCGTAGCCTCCGCCGGAGCTGGTGGAGGAAGAAAGCTTCTTTCTTTCGGGATGAGTTCTGACGGTGAGCCTCCAGATGCAGGAACTCCTGAAGGAGGTGCTGGGTCGGGTCATCATCCGTACTGGGATTACAGCTGGGGTTGGGGCTCCACTCCTGGAAGCGGGTGGGGCTACGGATCCGGGTCTGGGAGTTCCCCAGATGGTTCAGGCGGAGGGTATGGCTATGGGTTTGGCACGGGCTCTGGGTCTGGGCCTGGAAGCGGGTATGGTTATGGGTTTGGCACGGGCTCTGGGTCTGGGTCTGGGTCTGGCGGGTATGGTTATGGGTCCGGCACAGGTGGCGGTGCTTTTGGTGGTGGTGGCGGTGGCAACGACTGATTCAATGGTCAAAAACAGCGACGGACAATCAAGGGTGTCCCTCTACATGAATGCCCTCAATGCGTTTGAGGCTACTCTATATATGGATGTGTATGTGTGTATTCTGTATATACTCTTTGGGGTGTGTGTGTGTGTGTGTGTGTGTGTGATGACTACATCTGGCAAGGCGTAATAAGAGATGTGTATGTGTGTATTCTGTATATACTCTTTGATGTGTGTGCGTGTGTGTGGGATGACTACATCTAGCAAGGCGTAATAAGATTTTTAGTTGAGATTAGCATATTTGGTGAAAATCTTTGATATTACTGTCTCCAGTTCTAATTATAAGACTTTGTTTATTTCTACAAACAATGTTTTATAATTAGGACCGGGGCTAGTATTTCCTAATTTTGCTTGCTTTACTTTTAAGAATAGTTTACATATAAATAAAATTTAGTTAAAATATATATTTGGTCTTTTAATTTCATGTAAAATTTCGTTTGGTTTTTTAATTTTAAAAAGTATATTTTTAGTCTTATAATCCTAAAATTATTAGTTTTAAATGATATTTTTTTAACAATCATGATTGTTTTGAAAATTAAACTTAATATATTAATATTTAGTAATATTTTATTAATATTTAAGAGTTCAGTATCACTATTTCTTATTACCAATTTGAGAATTAGAACACTATAAATTTATTTTAAAAAAGTAAAATAAAATATTATGTAAAGTTAAAGAAATAAAAACACCGTAAAATTTGGAGGGAAGACGCCCACCTAAAAATCAGTCCTTAAATGGGCGCACTTATGGTTTCACTTCTCAGCAGATACACGTGCCTCCTGTGACACAACATCAAACCCATCCCAGTTCTTCCAAAGACCAAACTCACCTTGGCAATAAATATTGAGAGAAAGTTTCAAGGAAACAATATAATTATCAAAAACTTTTAATAACTAGCAGCATAATTTTTATACTGTAACTTATGAAACTTTTCAATAATTATATTATTTTTTAAGATTACGTCTAACCCATCAAAATAGGACTCATTTCATAAAGACGTAAAGCTCAAGTCTTACTAAACCAGTAATGGTATATAAAAATCTTGTTAGTAGATAATTTGTAAATACTTATGTAGGTATACCTTGATCTTAAACTCCTCACAAATTTTCAAAATCTAACTCATCAAAAAAAATTTTTTATATGTATATATGCAGAGAGATATGACCTCATTTAGGTCCAGGGATTTTATATTTTACATGTTATTGATAATTCATATAAATAGAGAAATATAATATTAATGTGTGATTCATTTTTCATTTTAAGAAAAACATGTCTCAAAGAGATTAACTAATCAAGTGAGGTTGAATTTGAGGTTACGTAACTTACAATAGCATGGACCTAAATGTGGAAGAAGGTTCAGACTTGATTTTATTTTGTTTCATATAAAAGTTTATCAGATTCCTTTAATTCCTTCTTTGGTCACGAGGAGCTTCAAATTTAGACCTTTTTGGAAAATCCCTAAAAAAAAAAAAGTCCGTTAAGGCAACTAACACTTGAAAATGACAAGAAATCACGTAGGGTTTGAACTGAAATTTTAGAAATATTGTGAAATTACCCATATGTCTTTATATAACATAAATAAAATTAATAAAACTGAAAATGATTAAGTGTTGAATTAGTAATGATAAATATTAAATTGGAAATGACAAGTCTCGTATCTTCTTCTTCTTCTTTTTCATTATTTTAGTTAGCTAATTAATTAACAAGCCATGAACTATAAATGATAAGTGTTGAACTAATAATAATAAGTAACGAGTCGTGAACTGAAAATGATAAGTGTTGAATTGACAATAACAATTATTGAATTAGAAATTATAAGTGTCGTAACTTTTTTTTATTCTCCGTTATTTTAGTTAGTTAGTTAATTAGCTAGTTGTTAAAAAAAAAAAAACAAGTGTTGAATTGACAATAATAAGTATTAATCTGAAAATAAAAAGTTTCATAATATTTTCAAAATGTCAATTTAAGCCTCATTTCCTTTTTTATCATTTTTAAGTGTTAATTGTTTGAATTGAAATTTCATATTTACGGGTTTTACCTATTTCATCAGATGATTTAGCCTATTTCATCAGATGATTTAGCCTATCGAAGGTCCCCCAGACGACAATTTTTCGCTTTCGTATAATCAGATAATAAAATGCAGGACTTTTTTTGCCAACAAAACGCCGGATTTAATTCATATACATGGACCGAGTACACCAGAAAAAAATTCTTTCCAGATAGTAATACATAGTCAAATTATCTGATTCTAAATGTAAGATTCAATTTGTAACGTAAATGATAGTACAAACTAGATTTTATATTTAAAACTAAAAGTAGTAACTCAATTAAACTACAAAACTAGATCTCATATCAAGTACTCATCCGGTCTTTAATATAAGATCTAATTGTTAAATTAGTTTTGATCTTAAATATAAGACTTATTTCTCATATTTATCAATTTTATCTAAATTACTTCTATGGATACTCCGTCAACCATAATTAAGTAGAAGAGAGAGAGGAGGTAGTAAGAAAGAGGATTATGGTATTTTAGGAAAAACATGTCACATTTTTTATAATTAACTAACTTACTTAACTTCCTTAATCTAATCAAATTAGTTAAATGGATCTTATATTAAGGACCGAAAGAGTATTACTTTACAGGAATGTCTCATTAATATTTGACCACGACTGATAATCTGAAAAAATTATTGAAGGGTTAATTTTCATTCAAAACATTGATCCATATAATCTAAAAAAAATTTGGACTATTTTGTCCTTTGAGGGACTAAAATCTTGGTTTAAAACTTAAGGGACTAAACAAATTTAAGAGGCCAAAGATTATACTCCATCCGTTCCTTATTATAAGAGACATTTGATGCTTATGGCATGTTCCTATATATAAGAGACACTTAAAAGTTATCTCTACTTTTTGGTGTTGATTTTCTATGTTACCCATATTTATTGTCTCCAACTCACAATCTCTCTTCCTCCCACTTCTCTCTTTTAATAATCTAATTGTTCTCTCTCATGCTCTCTCTCCTTATTAATGAGGGCATTTTTAGGGAAAAAAATTATACTTTTCACACATTGATTGTTCTTAATTAATTTTAACTGTTTTTCTTATCAACATAATTCGGTTATTTGTCTCTTATAATAAGGAACGGAAGAAGTATTAACTTATTATTAAATAAAAAAAGTAAAATCTTTTTAGGTGTTGTCCAAAAAAGAGTTCTTTTAAAAGTATTTCATGAAGAAAACTATGTGAATCATCAGCCGGGAAAACGAGCGGAGCCCGTTTAGGCCCTGAAACTATGAGGGCCGGGCTTGATTTTTTTCTCTTAAAATGAGAAATAAGCCCTGGAAGGCTGGCTCTGAAGGGCCGCAGGCCGGCCCTTTTAAACCCTTTTATAATTTTTTTATTTTTAAATTTTTTTTATATAATATTAATGTTATTAATTTTTTACATTGTTAATAATATTTCAAATATTTAGTTATTATTATCATTTTAAAATTAAATTTAGTTTTAGACAATAATTTATCCAATTAAATTTTTAAAAAATGGGTTAATTTGGACTTTAATAATGATTTGATTTATATTATATGCGTTGATATTTTTAAACTATATATATATTTGATAATAGAATATTTTTATACTTATATAACTTGTGATTCTATAATTTGAATTAGAAATTCATGAGTTTCAACAATAATGTTTCTCACATTAAAGTAAAATAATAGTTAGATTGCAAAATTTAAAAATAAAATTCTTATAAAGAAGAAAAACTTGATATTTTTGTTACGAAAGAAAAGCATACTTCTGAAGAAAAGTAATTAATTATAGTGATGATGAAGTTTCAAAAGATTAATGATAGTGTTTATTTATTGCACAATTGTATTATAGATAAAACTTTTAGATGTTATTATCTTGTTAATGAATGTTTTAGATGTTCTTAGATGTTGATGAATATTTATATATGATGATATTTTATATTTATGACTTAATTTTATTTATATTTATATCTTTTATTAATAATTTCATTGGTTATTTTTATATTTTTATAAAAAAATATGATAAATATAAAAAATAGTATTTTTTCTTAAACGGGCCAAAAGCCCGCAGGCCGGCCCTGACCTTGTAGCTTAAGGGCCGAGCCTAGCAAATTAGGGTATTTTTAAAATTTTAAGCCTGGAGGGCCGGCCCTTTTAAGCCCGCCAGCCCTAAAGGGCCGGCCCTGATTTCCAACATCAGCATGCTGATTACATCATACAATAATATGGGCATAGCCATGACCCTGGTCAAAAAAAAAAAAAAAACAGGGCATAGCCATGCATAATTATAGATTATTTCAATTGATTATTTCATATCTTTATCATGGATTGAATATTATATACAATTTTTTTTTGCCAAAATTATATACAATTCAATTAGCATAAAATTTAACATGATTAATTTGAATATTTTGTTACCCGCATCAAATACCTCTGGAATCAGATGGAAATAGAAAACCCATTCCTCAATAACCGATTAACCGTTCTCATACTCCATTTACTTTGAACCAAAATACAACTAGAAATGATTCAAGATAAATCACAATTGACGCAAGGAGTTCATTCCTCATCACCCTGTCCAATTAATGTTACATTTATTTTATTGTTCATATAAAATCATAACGAGTATAAATGAAAGTGGTGACAGGGAAGAGAGAGAGAGAGAGAGAGAGATGATTGAACAACACTCTTGCCTGCTAGGTCTCCAGTAGAGCAAAAGGCATATGTTGTCCATTCACGCAAATCATTATGGCTGATAAGCCTCAGGAAGACGAAGACCCACGCTAGCAGCAGATTTTCCAATGACCCTTCTCATTTCATCATTCCTGTCCACAGCAATATTGTAAGAGAACAAGAGATCCTGCAAAACCACCAACCAATGGTTAGAATCCCAAGATAAAAATGTGAATAAGTTTCTCTGAAAAAATTACAATTATTACTAAGCAAATAAAATCCCTTGGAAAATATTAACAAAAATGTAAAAAATCTGACTATACCAAACCATCAAAGAGAATTAAAGACAACATTTTGGTTTCTTACCTCCATTACAGCAAACAAGGATGGGGCCATCTAACTGGTCAAGTTTTAAACAAATAAGTCTTAAGTTTCATTTAAACAAGCTCAACTGTTCAAACATCTAATTGCATGCCTGTGTGAAAAAGTTTAAAGAAAAAAGCAACAGAAAGAGAGTGAGTAATGCCTTGTGATGGTGCACACTATTAAGCAGGAAAGTATAGTCCCGAGCAAGCTTGATTTTCTGTTGGACAGCCGCACCATCAGAAAGACAGCTGTTTCTGCGAAACTCAGATGTTATGAATTCCCGGAAATGCGTCTTGCTATCTTCCTTGCCAATGTGTTTCTGTACAGCCTTCAGAAGGTGGCGATAAATCTTAGCTGTTTGGAAGGATGCTTCTGAACCCATTTGCCCTTATATCAATATTCACTATCTACTTCCTGCATTGTAGGCCACATTCAAACTACCAAAAATTTTCTAATAAACCAGAAAAACTAATGAGAATTTGTGCCAACAAACCGCATTTCTCTATCACAATGGGCATGAAGTACCAATTCTTGCTAGCATAAAATAGATGTCATAAATGGCATTTACTGACTGTTCCAGTTAGCTTGGGTGAGAGAACTCATTTCAAATTGTATCAGACAAATTAACAAGATTTGTAAAAGACTTTCTGCTGGCAAGAATTAGTTGGAGCGTAATTGTTATGCCATCTAGGATGTTTTACAGATTGGTTGCGGTCATAAACGGCAGGTAACTAATATTGTCGAATCTAAAGTTTTGTAGATGCAGATAAAGCTGAGGTTCTTCACATTTGCATGTGCATATGAAAATAAATAAAGAGAAGAAAAACATAAAGGGCATGATAAGAACGAGAAGCGCAAGATAAAAACGTATAATAAGTAGCCAAGTAAACAATGCTAAAGAAAAGAAATAAGCTCTTCGTGAAATCATTTCTAACCACACAACAGGATGGGAAGCAAAAACCAGACTATACCTGACTGGCTTCTGCATCACAAAAGTACAAAAACCGATTAGGATGAACTTAGATTTTGATTTATGATCTCTGGTGAATACTCAGTTGGCTTTCACTTTCTCTTTTACAATAAATCCTATTGGGGAAAAATGGTGAATCTCCCTCGTGCCTTTTGTACTCGCAAATAGTCACCACGAATATCTCTAACCTCTAATTAGTAAGAAATTTAACCCTTCATCAGTTGGAAACTAGCATAAGAACGCTAGAAGCATCAAAGACATATAAAATATACCAGAAGTACGCAAAAGTTCAAGCAGAAAACCAATTTTCCCCAAGTGAAACCAGTAAACACCCACATTACTCTACTGGAAGAAAAAGTGGTCACAAGCTCATCTGGACCTAGAAACGATTTTCAATTTAACCAGAAGCGGTCGCAAGCACAATCAGTAATGTCTTCCATATCTACAAAAATAAGTTGTTTGGCATAATCAAAGCCCATTGCGCGTATGCTATTCGACCATCTTCCTTCTATGTTAGTTCTTGTTGTTCAAATAGAGTCATTTTATATTCCTCCATATTAGTTCTTCCTTCTGTAGATTCTGGCAGAAGACTTCGTTCAAAGGGAAAGACATGCCTACGAATATACATATGGGACCTACAATAACATATGGAAGAGAAAGTGATTACCTGTTTCTTCTCAGCAGAGCGGAGCCGAAGGTCGAAGAAGGAGATCCCAACACCGACGGAGGAGAAACAAGGCGATGCTAAAGCCAAGGATTACGACGACGACGGGAGGATGCCGGAGAAGGCATTACAACTATTGAGCATCAAGGTCCATGAGATATTGGAGTCCTAGGGATTTTTCTTTTCTTTTTTTTGTTAACATTTTTGTTGCCCCATTTTTTATTTGGCCTGATGCCCCTTTTTTTTTTAATTCTTTTTTGCCGTCATTTTTTTTGGGAGAATTATTAAGAGATTTGAAGGAAGAAATTTAATTATCAAAAAGTCTTAAGTGACTAATTTGAACATGTTGTCATTAATCATTATCTATTCTGAAACTTGTTATTGTTTATTCTTCACTTGTTAATAAATTTTGAGTCAATTAAATTTCTTCTTTAAGACCTGATTGCAATTCTATCTATTTTTTTTAACATTCTAGCTGTATGTACTTAACTTTTCATTGCTAGCTGACCCATTTAATTTAGGAGAACATCCCTTTAGAAAGATGTTTAAATAAAGCAAATTCTTATTTAAGTCATTAAATATGCCAAACTCTTAATTAGATCATATAACTTGAAGAAAGATTTTAAAATTTTATTAAATGATTCTAGTGCTCATTTCATTAGAAATCAATAACAAAAAGAATTCTAAATTAACATGTTTTACTTCGCAATTAACACGTTTCATTTTTAAATTAATAATTTTTTTGTCTTTGAATAAAATTTGATTACAATCCAACCTTAAAAATTAATAAGTTCAATTATCCAAGTAACAACTTTTAATTCAAAACTAAGAGCTTTATATCTCCAGAAGACAATTACTATAAGTCTTTGAATAAAATTTAGTCACAATATAACTTTAAAAATTAACATTTTTTATTTCACAATTAACACATTTTAATTTTAAATTTATAACTTTTTGTTTCCACAACACACTTGTAATAAATCTTTGAACAAAATTTGATCATAGTATAACATTAAAAATTAACATGTTTCATTTTACACTTAAACATGTTTCAATTGTAAATTAACAATTTTTTGTTTCTATAATGCACTTGTAATAAGTTTTTTTAATAAAAATTTATAACAATAAAATCTTAAAAATTAACATGTTCCAATTCGCCGTTAACACATTTCAATTTTACAACAACTTTCAAGGAAACTATCATAATTAAACAAGGAATATTTAATATAAAAACTAACTTACCGTTCCCTCCTTGATCAATTTCTTAACTTTGTAATGGTAGATGTGAAATTCCCTTTGTTCAAAATTCTAATAAAAGAGATATTAGAGTCATTTTATAAAATTTTAATATCCCTCTCTAGGTCAAGTGAATTGATTAGGACATTAGAATCATTTCATGAAATTTTAAGAAATTTGGTTAATAAATTCTGTTGTAATGACATCTATTATGAACAAGCTTATTCTACATAACCCGTAATTTAAGAGGGGGGAAAAAATTAAACGTTAGGGAGAATCTTGTTTTAAGCTTTTAGTGCATTTTTACAAGCCTTCTTTAATTAGTTATCTCATACAAGATAAGTCATTTTTTCAAATTATTAGGGTTAAGTTTGAGTACTTTTGAAATAAACACATCAATTAATTACTCTTAATAGTAATAATCAATTAAAAAAAAAATAGAACACAGAACCTTCTAAAAGATGAAAGAAGAGAGTATTAGACATCTTTTCCCTCATCACCTACCCTAAAATGGCCCATAATCTACTTGTCACACCTGCTTGTGCTGAGGCTTCAGCTCATATTTTCTTACGTCATGGAAAATAATGAATTTGGGGAAAGTTGTAGGCGCAGAGGTGATAAACTGAATCCCACAGAAGAAATTCAAAATAGGTGTTTGGTTACTTCATGTAAATTAACAAGAAATTCAGTACAAAACTATTGTCCACATTTACTTCCTTACCCTTTAGAACTATTAGAACTCGGCTCCGGAATTTCATTCCGTGTTTAAGACCTTTGGAACTTTGATGTAAGGCTCCTCGTAGCTTGGAATGGAAGCAACCATGGTGCCCCTATCAAGCATATATTACCCTGTTCGTACCTTTAGTTTCCCAATAATGTTTAATAGAAAAATAATGAGCAACCCACTTACCTGTCGTCGAAAGTCTCGGGAACATCATCACGGACATTGTTGTTTTCAGTATCTGCAGATAATATGACAGATAAATTCCCATTTGAAGCAAGAAGCATAACATTTGCCGTTATGACTATATGTCTTCCCACTCCCCCCCCCCCGGTCGTTTCCTATTTTTTAGTCTTCTTATGAAACAGTAAAGGGAAAAGACAAGAACCCCAATTTGTTAATATTCATCTTACAGTGATCAAACAAAAAGGACTCGATCAAGATGAAAGTTAGGAAAGCAATCAGGAAAAAGATGATGGTATGATTCATTTGCCAATGAGTGGTGTACAAGACAGCAACAATACACTATTTCTCCAAGTCTGGCAGGGACAAAGCAATAGAACTGCACAAGTTTAGAGTACTACCAAAAAAGGTTTTTGCAAATAAGGGGAAAAACCCGCAAGCTGATGCAATAGAGCTATTCTCTAATTTGTGAAGAATTTTCAATTCGTTTTGCAACCAAGATGTAAGCAGACAGAATAACTACTAGCTGGACTTGGATGACATTATCGTTAGCTGATGTAAATCGAAAAGGTCATAGAGAACCTGCTCTAATGGAGGGTTCAATGCTTTCGAGATCAACACCTTGAAGCTGTCCAAACCTGTCACAATAGCCAATTTAAGTTTGAAGGCTGGATAGGTGCTATCATACAATAATCCCAAAGGTAGGAAAGCTATTGAAACCAATTGATTGATCATTGAAGTTTTCATTATGGAAAAAAGTAATCAAGTCATACAATGCTATTGAAGGAGCCACATGAAAGGAGAAAAACAAAACATTTTGATGATTCCACAAACAGTGAACAATTAAATGTTAACGCACGAACAGAAGTCCGTTACTTTTTTGCAACGTTCATTATGCTGTCAACATAGAGTTTGAAATTTAGGAGTCTTTTTAAGGAGCTGGGGTAGAGAAAACAGGATTTTACCAATCTATCACCTGTTGAATTTTAGGAGCAAATTCTTCCACCTGCAAATAAAATAAAAGAAATAATGTAAAGGCAAAATAAATAACAAAAGAAAAAAGAATTAGACAAACTACTCAGCTTCCTTACAATAAATTATCATGCCATATCGTGTTAAAATCACCTCATTTGATGTAAGAGCAATTCGAGCTGTTTCTGCCAAACGAGTGACATCTGGAGGTGGAAGAGAGGACTGAATTTTTGTTGATGAGCAGCTTCGAACTTTATCGTGATGAACAATAACTTTTGGGAAACCAAAGTAGTTGAAACTTCTCCTGGAGTTGGTAAGGAAGCTATTACCCATTGCTGATGAGTATGACACTCCTTTGAGCAAAAAGACTCTGCTTCCCATCTGTTTTCAATTTTGCATTAATTCTGGCTATCAGACAATGGGTCTCTGCTTCTTCTTGGCCTTTAAATATGTAGAAGTTGTATTCCTTTCACTTACGAAAGAAGAAAATTTATAAAGGAGAGCATAAGAGTTTTGACCTTCACCGGAAAAGAAAACAGGTAAAACCTGAAGTGTTTCGCCTACAAAATGATTTTTGAGAATAATACTACATGTGGTCCATAATATGAGAGTTAAATAACTTTGAGAAAATTAAGAAAATTAGTTAAATTGGTTATTTGTAATAAATATATATTAAAGCTTCCCTAAATTACCCTCTTTAATCATATGCATTGGAATTATACCTTAGAAATATCTTATAATCAATAGGGATATTTTAGGAAAAATGTGAAACGAAATGAATTGAGATATTATATTTAGGCTAAAATCCAATCCCCCAACTAGCTCCCATATTAAGGATGAGAGCTAGTCCTTCTTTAACATTATTTTTTGAAAGAGAAATGATTTATCATGCACCTGATAACTATCAAGAAAATGAGATTGAGAAGTGAAACAATCCATCCTATATGTTTGTGTGAAGGTGTGAGCGTAACATATAAAAAAGAAGAAGAAGAAGACAAAAATAAGACATAAAGTAATTCCATTCAAAGTAAACAGAATATAAAATTAATGACTATTACCATCCTATCTAAGCTTAAAGAAACCATGACAATCCGATGGTTTGACATCAACCATACATCAAATCTAAGGAATAAGAATTCCTTTCACATTCACACCTATCTAACCTAAAACATCCACTTCCTCTTTTCAGCAATTAGATCTCATGATTCCTCGTTCCAAAGACACTTATTCTCATCAACAAGATTCAACAGTTTCCCAACAGAAGTTACGCTCAACATTTACATGCAACCATGGAACACCTCAAAACAATCCAATTTATTCAAGTAATTTGACTCTTAAATAATAATTCTAAGGAAGCTTCAAAGCCACATCTCTTATTCTCATAAAGTCCTATGAAGGTTGAGGGTATCATAAAGTCTAGTCAAGGTTGCATCTAACAATCTATGGTAGCTAGTTACCGACTTTTAAGCATGACTCTTTTCTTTTTCAAGCATTTTATCAAACACTTAAATTGCATCTAGTTATCATAGTCGAACTGTCAAACTAGCATTTAAATTTCTTCCCCAAACAACACCCAAGTATGAATCAAATTCTTCAACACCTTTAGAAAAGGACAAATTAGCCAATCAGCAGAACTTCTCCATTCTTAGCTCCCATTAACAGTTTAGGAAAACAAAGCATTCCTCCTGCAGACATGTCACCGGTTTACACGACACAATTCCTGCTCTAAGTATTCAGACCATTGTCATTCAAACTATAGTTTTCATGAAAGCCATGACACTCACTACAATCCAACAGGCACAACATTCAGTTCAATGTCAATCGTTCCAGAAGACCATGTCCTCATGAGAGCAGTATGTTGAGAGAGAGAGAGAGAAGAGAATGAAACAAATGTTTCTTGCACATGAATTTGAACTCAACCTGTCGCAGACCCTAGACGTCGCTTCGCTGATTCAACTCGGCCTCTCGAGTTTCAACCACGGGTTTCGTCCCCTCGGGTAATACCTTCTTCCTCTTCCGCCTCGACTTGAAACGGAATGGTCCTTTGATCAATCCGATAAGGTCTCAACGTAAAATCTGAACTTGCATCTGCTAATGGTGCTCCTCCCTCGTTAAACAAAACGGCGTCGTATCCATTGGCTGTAATTCATCCTCCGCCACCCATTATGGTCTAGGGGTAAAGAAGCTTCCGTGGGAAATCACGGGTGACTGGGAAAGACAATTCAGGTAATGATTTCAATGGGTTTGATAACTTTTCAAGTGTACAAATGGTATTGGGGAAAAAAAAAACAATTGTACTGAGGTAAATAAACATACTACCTAGGGGTGTCCATAGGCAGGACATGCCCCTGCCCGATGCACAGCCTGAAAAATAAGTGGGTTGCATTTTGCGACCTACTGTCCTGCTCTGCCCATAGAAGCCCTAACTATTTTCGGGCTGGACAATGACGGGTTGGACAGGGCCGGTTTTCAAGCCCAAATAGTGATACATTGGTGAAATTTTTTTTAAAGTAAAGGTATCTTATAACAACTATAAAGAAATAAATACTTGAATAAATAATAAATTCAACAAATCAATAACTTTGATTTATCTTAAATTGATATATCTTTTAATATAACACTAAAGTGAGCTTGCTTTTGCATCTTTGCAAGACAACCAACAATAAAAACAAACCAAAAGATACTAAACCAAATTAAAAAAAAATTAAAAAGATACTAAGAAAAAGAATTACGCATACCATTAAATGTATCTATGGCAAATGGAAGAGAGGAATAGATATAATATATATATTATATATCATTATAATATTTCTCACAAAAAAAAGAATTATATAATATATATATATATCACGTGCACGGCCAAATAGGCAGGGTAGCATACCGTGCCCGCAGCCCAGCCCTGCCCATAAATGCCCAACCCAAAAATACCCATTTTTCTTTGGATTGTTTTTTTTTCCGGGCTGGGCAGGGCCATTTTCTCACGGGCTCAGGCGGACATACCGGGCTATTGGGCTTGATGAACACCCCTAATATTACCTCTGAGTCTCATTAGAAGAGTTAATCGATTAATTTAAGAAAACTAAAAAATAATTAAATTAGTTATTTATAATAAATATATATTGTTTTTATTAAAATATCTTTGTTAATCAAGTGTATTTGTTAAAACTACCATTATTAGAAGGACTATTTTTAGAAAAAAAATAAATAAATATGATAGACAAGATGGGTTAGAGTCTTATATTTAGAATCAAAATAAAAATCAAATAAGATCTTATATTAAGAACCGGAAGTAGTATATATTTTAGCTTTCGTATATATTCTTTCGGTTTTGTCAAAAAGATTGCGTATTTGTCCCTATTTGGTTGATAATTGGAGGCTCTGAACTTGATCCGAAGTCACCCCAAATCGTGCTCGACGAATTACTCTTCTTTCCCCTCTTTTCCTCTTAGAAATGCTAAGTTCTGACTCAAACAGTGCTAGAGGACTCCACCTGAGAAAGTGTTGCAGCACTACTTGAATGGAAAAAATTGACAAAGTTAAACTCTTGACAAGGTTCTCAGGCAAAAAAGAAAAAACTCTTGACAAGGTTCTGCTCCATTGAGAGAACAGGGCCTATCTGAGTATTGGAGGAACATAAAGCAAGAGACCCCTTCACTGAAGCACTTGTACCTGAGTGAAAACAGGTGTCATAAAGTAGAGGAAGTACACGGGAGCTTTTCAACTTTAGAGTATCACCAACATTCTAAAACAAGTCTTAATTAATTGAGGTGTTTTAGTGTTAACAGGCTTGGCTTAGTTCGATTTTGGGGAAAAAATTAACTGCTTAGTTCTTGAGTGGCTTTATTTAGTTTAGTTTCTGTTTGGATCAAGCATGAATATTTTTTTAAAAAAAAAAAAAATTTAGTGATTTTTTTTTTTCCAAAAACTATGTTGCGTGTGTATTATATAACAAGTATAACTTCTATATAAATCTAGACCCAAGCCAATAAGTTAATATAAATATGTACGTGAGAACCAATACAGTGAACAAATAAGTTAAATCCTGTCCTCGTCGATTTAAATTAGAAGTATAAGCCAATACACTAAACAAAGAACTTATTAAGCTCACCCTATAGCTTTACAAAAAAAGGGTGAGGTCTACACGGCTATTCAATAAAGCTGCGCACCCAATTCGTCATCTCGTCTTTAGGAACTAGTGAGAATGCAACAGCTAGTGATGGTGACTCGGTAATCTTCACATAAACCTTGTTAATCTCACCCCATGGGAGACCTTGTAATCTCATAAGTTGCTTATATATTTCTTCTATTCTATCCAAGTGAATATGACCAAATCTTCTTGACTCCTTCCTCATTTCTACAAATTCCCTACATGAATTCTCAACAAACTTCATCATTGACTTGTCCATATTAGAAGATGATTCCTTCAATGTTTCAACAAGCACATCTACAATAGAGGCTACTCCTCCATTTCCGTTTTGTAGACAAATGGGCATCAATTGATTGCAAAGGTTGTTGCTCAGACAAAATCATTATATGTGTTGAGTCCTCGTTCAGCATTGATCTCAACCTCAATTCTAGATTATTCGCTACCCTCAACAAGAGATGTAGGCATTTCAGCATCAAATTCCATCACAATAAGGTCATCCATTGTCTCACATAATGAGATTATGCAATAGATAGCAAGCAACTAGATATCGTTTGAGTTCAAATGGTGTAATATGATGGGCTTCTCAATATTGCCCAAAGCATCTTCAAAATCCTAAATGCCCTTTCAATGACATTCTAGCATGGACATTTCACATGTTAAAACAGTGATTTGGGTTCCATCGCCATACTCATTTAGGTAATATCATTGTCCACTCACCCATGCCAAGTTAGTTTAAGACCACCTGTAGCCTCTAGGATGCTACAAAGCCAGAAAATGTGGTTTTACACATCCCAGTTTGGTTAAAACATGTTATATCACTACCATACACCATCTCCGTAAGCTGACTTTTGTTTTTATGGAAATCTGGTGTGATACTGGTCATGAACGTGTCTAGTGCTATATATAGCCACACTAAATATCATCTCAAGAAAAAATTTTTCGAGCAACATACAAAGCAACCCAACAATGTATGAAGGATGATTTTTTTATTTGTCTTCAGCAATAATTAATTGTACCCAACCAAAACAAGGTTATAGCACCCACTACGTATCCACATCAACAAGCAAGTAGAAAACAAAAATAAGCAAACAATGTTGTGAGATCAGCAACAAATCACTATAGTACTTTGCATAACCAAAAAAAAAAAAAAAAGAATGAACAAATTCCTTTAGAATTTATCATACCAATATTGATTGCGGAAATCTTACATGACAATGTAAACTCCAAAAGCCTCAATAGAATTTAAACTAAATCCTGAACGAAAATCTTAAGCAAGAGCTCAACAATCTACTTGCTGGATTCCTTTTTCTACAAAAAAAATAAAGGCAGGAACCTACTAGCATTAGCAATAGGAGTGATGCTATGAAGTCTCGTTTGGGCTTGGGTACTCTGTAATTAGGTTTGGAATTTGTGATTGGAGAATTGGAAGAAGAAGAAGACGACGAAGATGAAACCAGGAGGTGAAGTAAGAAAGTAGGAGGAAGAGAAGGAAATGAAGAGGGAGACAGAGTGCGAGTATGGAATCGACACACAAAGAAACGATGAGGAAAGAGCAAAACAGAAGCAAAGAACAACTTACCTCACCAGTTACAGATTTTCAGGCGGGAGGATGATTAAGCCGTGATGACCTCTATTGCCGGCGATAGTAGCAACTAAGGGTATGTTTGGATCTCCGTTTTGAGATCTAAACATGCCTCGGAAAATGTAATAAGTCAGTTGGGGGCTTTCTAAAGGTAAATTGGTTGTTTGGATAGATAGCTTTTGAATCTGACTTCTGAAAAAAAGCAACTTATTTTTTAGCGCTCTGGGAAGTAGCTTTTCATTGTTTCAAAATGTAATATACCTTTAAATAAGCATTTAATGACTATTAATTTCTCTCACCTATCATTTCTACCAGACCGAGCTCAAGCCTCTCTTCAAATCAAAACAAAGAACTCGTGCTACTGCATTTGGCCGTGTTCACCTCCCTCACTCTCGGCACTCTCTCCATTTGTTGCTCTTGCTAGTGTCTTTGTCCATCGGTCTCGGCTGTGTCTTCATCTGTCGCTCTCTCTGGCATCTCTGTCTGTGGGTGTCGCCGACTCTTCTCCCTCCATCAAAATAGATCTGGGTCATTGTTCATGCCATCGCCGGTGTGTTTGTGCAAAGAATAGCCACTATTTTCCTCCGCCATTGAAGGTACCGTGGTTGTTTTTCTTCTCTTCCCTATTTGACTTTCAGATCCTCTATTATCCTTGTCAATGGTCATAGTGGCTGAAGGAGGCTTGCTTTTTTTCTTCCTCCTCTAATTGTAGATGTTGTTTGACTGAAAAATATAATTTATTTAGAGTTTTCGATGATTCACCGAACTAATCTACCACCTTCAATGTATGTGCACTCCCTTAAGAAATCAAAACCTCTCTGTTACTCCTTCTTTGTGCTTTTATAGGAGTTTTGGACCTATTTGTGTGGTCCGTTCTAGTAACAGCATTCCCACTTTCATATAGCGCTACTGTGAGGGGTAAGCTGAACATTTCTTCCTTGTGTGCATATATGTGGATGTGAACTGAATGGCTGTAATTAATAGTGTATGGTGTTGGTTTATGGTGCAAGATTTATGGACGTGTGAATGCTCTTTTGACCAAAGCATATGATAGTTTGGCTTTAATTTTGTTAGATATTATGCTTTAATGCTTGGTTGGATTTTTTGAGTTAAAGGAAAAAAGTATTTTCGGTGCTATGGGTTCATGTATCATGATTGAGAATGGGTGGCTGTAATTGTGTGCGATGTTTTGAACTTTGGGGGGAAAATGTATAGAGATGGTAATCAAGGATATGTGGATATATTTAGCTTGTACCTGGTTCAATGACCAAACAATGGGAAACTTTTATTGATTTAAGAATCTATAATTTCAGCTTACCCAATATTGATTGCTGTCTCTATCTTATCACTGGTCAAAACCCATAGCTTAATTCGAGCTTGGTTTA